CTCACAAAAATGTATCGAGGTTAATAGACCTCCCACTGTCACAAATTCAACTTTAATATTTCACATTTCCGCTTACGCCCGCCCACTAAGCGTGTCTTAATATCAAATTAGTCCCTAATCGGAATTGTCGTTTTGTTATAAGTTATGTTAAGTTATAACCCGCTGTCAATCGATAGAAGGTAGAGGTGTCGACCTTCAAACACGCGTTCTAATCCTGGTAATACGATTCCAATGTAGAAATTATCATTACAAAAAAGACCGGCTTAATCTCAAGAATTCTTTATCCTAATCCTTTTCATCGAGACTGTTATACTAGTGGTATCGCTAAAATACATAATTCAATACTGCCGCTGTGTAGAAATTATAAGTACCAAAAATACCAGGTTAATCTCTAGAATTCTTCATCCTAATCCTTTTGATCGGAGCTGTGTTAAACTAGTGAAATCGCTGAAATATATACTTCAAAACCACCGATAAACATGGCCGCTTTGTTAGCCGATGCAAGTTTATAATTAACCGCGGTTCAACGCACGACCGCCTATGGGTTTCAAAAACTGTAAACAATTCATGCAAGGATGCCTGGTTCGATTGAAAATATCTTTATTAATAACCAAATTTATAACAGCTTCAGGCAGCGCGTAAACTTAAGGAGATGGTTCTCAATTCGACTGTTATTTTTTTTGTTTGTTGCTCAGAACTTTCGACTGAGCGAATCTATTTTGATGATTCTATTTTTATTTGAAATCTGGTGCTTCCCATGTGGTCCCGTATTAATTTTATTCGTATTGGATCTTGGGCTACGGAGATACTTGGGGAACTCCTGAAAATCAATTATACAATGAATACAGAGCGAGATATTTGAAGTCTGTTTTGTTTTTCGTTAATTAAGAAAAATGGACTTTCATAAACTCGCATCTGAAAATATAGGTTTAAGGCCCATTTACACGATGCCATTTTCTTGAACATACAAGAGCAATAATTGAATGCAATAAATTGCGCGCAATAATTGTTTAGACCATTTGTTGTTTAGACCATGCAACTCATTTATTGCTTCAATTTAATTGTATACAACAGGCAAGAAACTGGCACCATGTAAATGGGCCTTTAATAAATGCGTTCTTCCCCGTCTAAAGTCTCTAAAAATTTGGCACACACAAACAATACTATTTGGCGGACGCGACATTCTCGTCAGTATAGTATGTCATTGTGGCATAATTCTGACGACATTTTCGTTGTTGGCTTGTCTTGAGTATTTATAATTAAAAGTTTTTTTAACAAAAAAAGAACCGGTTTCAAATAAAATTATGTACGTAACTAATACAACGTTACATGCAGCAATCGCGGTTGTATCAATAAATAAATTGTGTAATAATCAGATCTATGTGAAATTTGTAGGAGACCATTTCGGAATGAAACGCTTTTTTTTTTTTTTTATGTGAAAAGTTGTCAAACGAGCAGACGGTTCACCTGATGTTAAGTGAATACCGCCGCCCATAGACATCTGCTACACTCGAGGGTTTGCAGATGCGTTGACAACCTTTTGAAAATTGGGCTCCGGTCACCTCACTCACCAGACGAAACGCGAAAGTATTATACATTCACTTTCGCTTTCGAACAAAAAAAAGAATTTTGCAAATGCGTTATATATGACGAAGTTATGGCCGAACATACATAAAAAAAAATATATATATACATCCGAATTGGTAACCTCCTTATTTTTGAAGTCGGTTAAAAACAAAGTTGTACTCTACTTCAAGAAAGAGTGCTTATCGTCAAATTAAATACAATTGGTTCTTTGCAGAATTAACTAATTGCCCGCTCTATACATAATTAATGTTAGTTTTCATTTGTATGGAGGACATGTTACGATATAACTGTTGCAGCTAGAGGAAGTGTATTTTAAGGAGACCGGAAGACCGGTTATGGCAACGCGTCCGCTGTGAGGTATTGGAGTCGACACCCCACACGCCAGCTGGGGTTGTGCACTCGAGCCGAAATCCGATGGTCTCTACCGAAACTTTTAAAAACATATTTTGCTGTCTATCTCTGGTTATTAGAGCCAGAATATCGTGTTAGGAGGATACTAAACGATATTTGAATTGACATGTTAAATCACACGTCGTTACACCTCGATTTGTTTCCCAATTGTCCCGGATCGATGGTATATATGGTCTCCCGTATAGTGTCGATGCCACGGACGCGTCCAAATCCTTGGCACGGTCGAAATTGAACTGTTTACAATACGTAGTGTGGTAATCTTGCAGCTATGAAATATCTTTATGTAATTGTTTATTTTAGTTATGCTAAAAATGCCTCCCAAAGCGGTAAGGTACATCATGACGATTTATATTCTTCCTGGTCGAGTATAAGTTTGGTCCAAACACTGATCTTATTAGTAATTCGTATTTCGATTCGTAATTCGATATCGAAATCGTTTATAAATTAAAAAAAACCTCGTTAAAATTGAAAATAGATTGATTTTAGATTACTTTGACATCTCTTCGTATCGATAACCTTACTTCAAAGAAACTTGAACAGACTTAGCCAGGATCGTGTGGAGTCGGTATGCATATATAAACGTCGCCCATAAAGTTACTCTCGCAAGATGACTCGTCGAATAAAGAGTCTATTCTAACCGCATGCCCCACAAAGTGCAAGCGGTTTATTTACTTCCAACAAGAAAGCTATTACTGGAAACCGCCCCCTCGGCGTACGAACAATACACACTTAATTTCGCCACATCCCCTTGAGAGATTGGGGGCGGTCGTGCATCTGTTCAAGATTGTCAGCTCCGGGGGTTGAATGTTTCGAAATAGAATAGCGTTGAATTAACCTAGTCTTAGTATGGGACCCTGGTAACCACATCAATGAAAATAAGGAGAATGCTAGCGTTGTATAATGAGGAGGCAGCAAAAATTGTCGCGGTCTGGCTAGCTGGCTACCTGTCTTACGAGATACAATTTACACTAAATTACTTTTGACCCGTACCGACTATAGTTATGCCTGTCTAGTATACACTCTATATTTTAAAAGTTTTTAGTCTATCTTTTAAAAAGCCTGACTAACCCTGTCTCGGGAGACTTGGCGCGCTACAACTTTGAAGCTGGCAAGATTGAATTGCATCGTTCTTAGAATATATCACGATTCTTTCGTAACTTTCTCTATGCTATGCTCTCCTGGTAGATCCACGGATCTCATATGATCACGCTGGCTCTTTCTCGACAGATCAGTTTCCCATCTACACGTCTGATGCCCCAGAGGATGAACTAGACTCGATTACCGAAAATGGAGTTATGATTGCCTGGTACTTTGGTGATTTTGAGGGTTCCGTACGCGAAGGGAATAACGGAACCTTATACTAAGACTTCGCTGTCTGTCTGTCTGACCGTCTGTCACCAGGCTGTATCTCGTGAGCCGTGATAGTTTGACAGTTGAAATTTTAACAGATGATGTATTTCTGCTGCCGCCGTAATAAGAAATACTAAAAAACTGAATAAAAAAATATTTAAGTAGGGCTGCAATATAACCGAAATGATTTTTATGTCGTTTTCATAGATATAGAATGGGGTTCGGTACCCTTCGTGTAATCGTGTAGTCTGGTTAGCGCTTTCTCCTGTCTTCTTGAACAGCCTTACCTCCCGCGGCCCGTTGCCCGTCTACTTCCTAAGTCTACGGCGGGATCTAGACCGGCGCTGACGTCATTCGCGTCTAAACTCGGCGCCGCGCCGGCAGCCGGAAGCGTCTGTGACGTCAGCGGTGACATTTAGCGACGTGTTGGGCAACGTGGCACGCGCGAGGGGAACTCCGGCGACATTCCCGTCATTCGTTGCCAGGCTCCGTCGCGGCAGCGGGCTAAGGAAACCTAATAAGACTGCGAAACGTGTTATAATAGGAAAAATCGTCGTTATCTATATAAACGGGGGGAAAATCATGTCTATTGTATGGGAGCCCCACTTAAATATTTTTTTTACTCTGTTTTTAGCATTTGTTGTTATAGCGGCAACAGAAATACCTCAATAAAAAAATCAACTTTCTAACAATCACGTTTCGTGAGATACAGGCTGGTGCCAGACAGACAGACAGACAGCGGAGCCCTAGTAATAGGGTCCCTTTTGGGTACGGAACCCTAAAATAACTAAATGGCATCTCAGTGAGGCTAGTCCAGCCTTTATCCGGCTGACTGGTTGTTATCTAGTTGGCCTACCATGGGCGTTACCAATGTATGTTAAAAGACCAGGGTATCATGGCAGCGAGGTAGTAACACTTCGAGGATGTGATTTTGGGTCTGCGGTGTTTGGTTCCTCTGGTGTTTTTTTCTTCTCAATGTGGGTGTGATTGCTTTGTTATGTAAAAAGCACCTACGCCGGTACCCCATAATGCCAATATCTTAGGGCTATATGCGAAATTCGAGCTATATTATTTATTTATCTGTGACAATATACGAATGTGGACCGGAAGTCGTCGTCAAATTACACTTTTGCCTAGCCAAAAAAATTAATAGATCGCAAGTCACAAAAGATGTCGTTCACTTCCGATTTTCTCCCCACCCCCGAAATCGTAAGCGCGATACATCCATCGATTTACATCCGCCGGATGTGTGGTCCCCCACTCTCGAATCAAAATGGCGCACACCCTCCGATTTTTTCATACGACGTCAGCACACCTGGCTTTGCTCCCCTAAAGATACTGAAGTCCTGAGCAGTTGTCCAATTAAAGCAGTTTTATTTAGGCTGCCTCATTTATCGACATTTCAATTCTGAGACCCGAAGGTTGAAGATCAATTTAACCCAAATATCCGTCTACTTATTTAAATTTAATTAAAGTTACTCAGATAAATGAAAATTCGCAGTGTCCCTATTCATAAACAGATCAAAAATTGATTTTATAAAGCCGTGTAATAAAGCGCGTCCAACTGTCAAGGTTCGCGCCAATTTTCTCGCGGCGTCGTCGATCGTGTCACAGAGTAAACACGATACGCGTATCCCTCTTAAATCGCTTCAGAGGCGTCGGAAGCACGTGCGCGCACAATGCTCCCGTTCCCCTTGGCCGGCGGAGGGCTGCCCGATGCGGGCTTGTGTGTGGTAATGTTGTTTTTTTTCTCCTCCATTCACCGGGCAAAAGTTCAGCGTTGCGTGAAGCCCGGAGCACGCCGGTTTCCGTGTCTACACGTTAGAACGCTTCTCAATGTAATTTAACTCAAATATGGCGGTATTCCTCGCTGTGTAAGGTCAAAGCCCTCTAAAGCGCGAATAGGCAGTCTTCGAGAAAATTCGCGATATATATGTGGTGACCGAAATACACTTAATTAACCATTGTTAGGTGAAATCGGAATGCTCGAGTAACAACTGGTAATTAGTCAAGGTTACCTGTAATCGCTCCCTCGCTCTTACAAAACCATTCTGTCTCAGAGTGTTGCGTGCAACAAAGAAACTCAAGCAACCATACAGATTATTAATAAGTATTTATATCGATAAACAAATACCTAATTGTCCCAATGCAATACTGTACGCCTTTGCAATACAGCTCCAAAAAGCAATCATCCAGTTGCCAACATTTAAATATTCATTGTTTATGCTAGCAATAGGTAAAGCAACGAAGGTTTACATAATATCTTCTGCTGCTTGGTTTGGCCAGCGCAACCCCAACCGCAACCACATCCTCGCGGGAAGAATGTACTTAACTGGGTAACTGAATACCCCCCCATGCTGTAAGAGTCCCTAGGCCATCCTCACCTCAGATGCAGCCCGCGCCCATTTTCCAGCTCTCAATGATATAGAAAAGTAACATACTTCAATAGTATTAGCGTCTGTTAATAAACGCGTATCATTTCGGCGCTGGCGCAAGCTGGCGCGCGCATCTGCCGCGCAGGTGTCCGCCATCTTGAACGGTGGCCATCTTGTCGTTCAGAAACCTAACGAGGGGTGAGCTCGACAATGGATCCCGTTGTTCGATTCAACATTGCAGACGCGCATTCGAAATTTAAAAGTGTTTTAATCGTCGATAGGGAGATGTAAGAGTAATAATAAAAATTTTGACTTCACTGTCAAAAAGGGCGCCAAAGGAGCTTTTTGTGGGGACAAATAAATTTTATGGCGGCTGCGTTGTTCGTTTGAATATTCTTCAATGAAAACTGTATGATTTTAGTAAATATTTTGATAAGTAAGTAAAACAAGTTTATTAATAAAGCGTAAAAAATTCTGCTAAAATTACGTAAATTAGTGTTGCCATTTAATATCGTTTCATTGTCAAATGGAGTATTGTCAACAAGCTTTCTGAGAAACTGATTTCACTGGTTGTGTCGCTTTTTTATGCTTAAATTCCCCTTCGTTTCGCCTTACTATTGTTAAATATTACGTACCAATTATGTCCGTGACCATGAATGCTGTATAAAATTAAAAAAAATAGTTCCGTTCTTCGAAATAAGCAGCTATTAGATCCATTAGGACTGGTCTTCCTGATTAAGGCATTCCTCTTTATATTCTTTAGGGCCACGCAACAGCCTTCGCTGTTGCACAAATGGGCAGGTCCGTCCGGGGAAGTACCACGTCCTTACATAAGAACGGCGTGAAGTGGATGCCTTATACTTCTGCGTCTGGTGAGAGATGTAGCCGGGGCCAGCTTTATTAAATGTTGGCAACGCATCTGAAACACTATGGGTGTTGCAAATGTCAGTGTGCGGCGGTGAACTCTTAGCATCGGGTAGAACTGTGCGTGTGGCTGATACGTTTCGCCTGGGGAGCGATGTGATCTAGGTCCGCTTTATTAGGACGCAACGCACATGCAACCCAACCGGTGTAGGGTTGCAGGTGCGTTGCGGCTTTTCGCCTGTGAAGCGACGTGATCGAGGTCCGGTTATTAAAAGGTGGCAACGCTTCGGGTGCGGCAACTGTCAACAGGTGAACCGCCGGCTCGCTTGCCACGGATTGGGCGTGTTGCTGATTCTCCTCCATCTCCCCACAGCTCCTCGCACCTCGTGCACCGGCGGCGCCCCCAACAACCTGCCGCCCCTCAGCTTCCACGCGGTGCACGGCGAGAACGTTAGGATCTCGCGCGACGGCACAACCGCCCGCCGCGTGGAGTCCTTCTGCAAGGGCGTCGCCTTCAGCGCGAGGCCAGTCAGGGTCAACGAGAAGGTGGGTGGAAGTAGCGGCTCCCTACTCGGTCGCCGGGGCTCGTGGGTTCGATTCACGCGCGAGGCAACCCGCCAGATGATCGTTTCGGATAGATTCCGTTCGGATTCATTCATTCAAAACGCCCTTAAATTGGTTGATTATTAACGTAAATAAAACTTCATATTCTATGTAGTACTCTGCTAAAAGATTTCTTGTCGTTGACTGCAAATGACAATTAGATTAGAACAAGATATTTTACATGTATACGTATTTTACATACTATTTTTTTTTTCAAACATTGCCCTTTAGGATATCATTGTCCTGTGTTGTGAAGACGTTTTACAAATATAAACTTCACATGGACAAACGCCCAGATGCGAAACAACTATCAGTGGGTCACAGAAATAGTTGTCTCGTGTGGGAATTGAACCCACGATACCCGACGTCGAAGCCGAAACATTCGCGACTACGCCACGGAATTACTTAACATCAGGTGAACCGTCCGCTCGTTTAACAACAATGTTCCCCCTCCACCTTCAGGTGTGCGTGCGTTTCGTCGAGATCTCGAACAGCTGGAGCGGCGTGATCCGCTTCGGCTTCACCACCCACGACCCCACTAGCCTGGCGCACGCTTTGCCCAAGTACGCGTGCCCCGACCTGACCAACAAGCCGGGCAACTGGGCGAAGGCCCTCGGCGAGAGGTTCTGCGAGAAGGACAACGTGCTCCACTACTACGTGAACTCGGCGGGCGACGTCCATTTCGGGATCAACGGCGAGGACAAGGGGCTGTTCTTCTCCGGCGTGGACACTAGGAGCCCGCTGTGGGCGCTCGTGGACGTCTACGGGAACTGTACCGCGGTCCAGTTTGCGGACCCGCGCGCGCCGAGCCAGGGCCGACGCGCCGTCCAGAGCCCCGTGGCGGAGGAGGAGAGGCTGGTGGGCGGCATGAGATCGCTCAGCGTCGAGGAGCCCCTGCCGGCGCCCCGCCACCAGAGCCCTCTGGCGCCGCTCAGTTTGCACAGAACGAGGGGCCGAAACGTCCAGTTTGTAAACGACAGGGGCGTCGCGGCCAGGTTGGACGCGGAGTTCTGCCAGGGCTACGTGTTCACCGCGCGCCCCATGCGGCCCGGCCAGACGATAGTCGTCCAGATCCTGGCGACCGAGTGCGCGTACGCCGGCAGCCTGGCCGTGGGGCTGACCTCGTGCGACCCGGCCACTCTCCGCCCCTGCGATCTGCCGGACGACGCGGAACAGCTGCTCGACAGGCCCGAGTACTGGGTGGTGAGGAGGGACGCGGCCAACGGGCTGCGGCGCGGCGACGAGCTCGCCGTGACCCTGACCGCGGACGGCGAGGTCAGGGTCAGCCGCAACGGCAGCGCCGCCGCGACGGTCATGCACGTGGACCACACGCTCAGGCTGTGGGCGTTCGTGGACATATACGGGGCGACGCAGCGGGTGCGGTTGCTGTGCAGCCAGCCCCCGGCGCAGACCCCTCCTCAGCAGCTGAGGGTGCTGGCGGGGTCGGCGGGCCCGATCGCCGCCGCCGGGGGGGGCGGGACGGTGCTCGTGGTCAGTCTGCCGCCGCAGCAGAACGGACAGATGATGGGCCACCAGCAGGGGCTGACCTTGGCGAGCGCGCATTACATCGAGGTAGGCAAGGGTTTAAGTGCGTTTTCACAGCGTTCTGTAGTCCCAAACTAAGCAACGCTTGTACTAGGTAAGTGATGAACATAATACACATATATAAACACCCAAACACTGGAAAAATATTATGTTCATCACACAATTGGCGTGCGGAGTAGTGAACCCGCCTCTTGCGCCAGAGGGTGTGGGTTTGATCTTCAATTCTACTCACAATCAGTTATCTGGCGCCCATAGTACAAGCGTTGCTCAGTTTGGGACTAGAGAATGTTGTGTAAGCATGTGTCCTAAAAATATTTTAAACTGCCTTGAAAAGCCTTTTCTTACAATAGAAGTCACTGAAAAGCGTCTTATTGTTCTTATTTCCATCGAACATATATAAATTTCATTTTCTAGTCCGTTAACAATCACTTTTATTGCTTCAATCCTATGACATTGCCTCATCTATATGCAATGACAAGCCTACTTCTAACCATTTTCTAGTCTGTTAAGAATCACTAATGTTGCTTCCCAAGCGTCCCCTACACTAACTATGCCCCGTCTAATGAGTTTGTTTCCCCGCAGCCGATCCAGGCGTCCTCGCAGCTGTGCCTCGCCAACTTCCAGCAGCTCGCCGCCCAGCCGGCGCCCTGCCCCCAGCAGCAGCCGCAGTCCTACCAGCAGCAGCGGCAGCGCACCGAGGCGCAGTGCAGCAGCCAGAACAGCGTCAACGAGCAGCTGCCCAACGGCCACGGCGAGCTCAGGCTCGAGAGGCCCCCTGGACCGTCGACCAGCCGCCAGGTGGCGTCCACGTCGCACCAGCCGGTCTACTCGATCATCGGCGAGGGGAACCTCACCGGCGCCGAGTGCACGATATGCTACGAGAACCCAATCGACAGCGTCCTGTACATGTGCGGCCACATGTGCATGTGCTACAGGTGCGCGGTGCAGCAGTGGCGGGGCAAGGGGGGCGGCCAGTGCCCGCTGTGCCGGGCCCAGATCAAGGACGTGATACGCACGTACAAGTCGTGATGCGTGAGCGGCGCAGCCGTGGCGGCAGAATCCCCGCGTGCCTTTGCCCCGCGCCGTGCGCGTCTGTGGCGTCAGTTTCGCGCCAAATTTTGACAGACGCGACCGGCAGTATAGTTAACAAAGGCACGGCCCACGTCGTCCGTCGGAACAAATTTATGCCAAAAAGAGTATGGTACGCGCACGGTGACGGATGCTGGATTTGACCTTAATATATTCCTTAAACAAGTAGTGGTAGTTTTCAAAAAAAAAAAGCATATGTAAATAGAATTAATTGTAATTGAGCATTTGTCCGTTGGAATATTGATCGATTGATATTCCCACGCGCAACTGTGTTTTATACTATACATATAATGCTGTCTTACTTGTCTTGTATAGGAGGGTATTTAAAAAAAAAATGGTTTAAAAGTAATAATATATCACGTGAATCCCAAAAATATGTTGACTTTATTTATTGTACGAGACATTACTTGACATTTTTGAAACGGATTTAATGTTTGTATTAAGATATAATTATGTTAGTTTCCATTGTATTAAGGAGTTTTGACTTATATTGTTCGAGTATATTTAGTATTTTGATGAAAGAACTGTCCAAATTTCATTCAAATACGATTTTTACAAAAGTTTCACTTTTTATTTAAAGTCCAAAAAGTTTCTTTGTCAATTTGTACAATTACCTCACAGATAAAAGCTTGAAAATATTATAAAAAGCCAAATAGCCTTCTGTATATATATAAAATATGCACTTAATAGTTGATCAATCGAATATTGAATAATTTAATGTGCTTAAAAAGGTTTTATATGTAGAAACTAAAGTTTTGATTTTATTGCATTGAAACAAATAATTATACCTTTCCATGAAGCAAATTTCTGTCCATAATTATTATTATAGTATTATGTTGTTATAACGGGGCTATAGCAAGACTTAAAGAAATAATGCATAGACAACATGGTCAAGAACAGAAATAAATCATAGAATTGTTTCTGTTGATCAAATGGTGAATTGGATTGCAGAATCATTTAATTATATTTTGTAGGTATAGCCCTGTTTTAAAATAATTGCAATTCACATATTATAACTAATGCATAATATTAAGAATTTAGAATATGGGTTATCTCATTTGTACTCCTTGTCTTATTTGTGTCTATTTATAAATTATACTGAGAGGTTTGTTGATATAAAGCAAATTTGTAGCATAATGTCATATTTATGGTATGTTATTTAGAAAATGTAATTCTGGATTGACTGCCACATAACTGTTTGGTTGAAAAACAGAAAGTAATTTTGTATTTTGTTTATAAATCATTTCTATTAAATAAGCAGCTTCTGCTATATTGTTTGTACAAAAAAGGCACCATTACTAGAGTAAGGTATATTATTTTAAAAACCAAATCCATATTGTACAAAATTTTATCCAGTCTATTGTGACAGTGTCGGTTTGGTTTTTTGAGTTGTATCCACGTACCTTACTGGTGCCAGAATGAATATATTCCAATTTGAAACGTTTTTTTCATAATTTATGTGGCACTCTATCCATTTCAGTAATTACACAGTGCTTAGTAGTATTTCTGCTAGGGCTTCAATAAGTGATAGGGGGGTTCCTAAACCAAATCGTTTGTTAGGGCATGTATAGGCTGCAGATAATGTCCATATATATTATAAGAAGTGTGCAGTGAGCAGTATGCATTTAATAATTTACGTCATATCACTAAGTTCTCTGTCGTAGATAAGCCACTGTCATATTCCTGGGAATGCCCTCGGCGCTTTGTTCCATAGAGTAGATGCATTTAAGTTTGATTTGTTATATAACTTAAAATATTTCCCTTAAGCGCGTGACTACAAAGATCTAAGCTACAGTCTAGTTGTTGTTGCACGTTTGAGTCTGTTTTTAGTACATTTAAAAATAAATTTTATAATTCGGGCGTCGTTCCAGCTGCGAAAGCAAATGCATGAACTCGTCGAGTTTTGTTCAGTAATTAAATCATTATGTTCTTACAAAATAGTATCATGTTAGTTTCACACCCTTAGAGCCGGCGAAGAGTTTTTTGTTCGTGTTAAGAAAACAACATAAATAACTATGAAAATCGTGCTGCGAAAGAATGTACGTATGGTTTGGTTACTGCATGGATGCCGTTGGTCGAAGTTTTCGATTGTCCTTCATCTGCAGTGGCCTGGGATGTATGGGAGTTTAGCACAGATCGGCCCGTAGATATCGCGCTACCGCGTCCCGCTCCATGCGCTAAGCTTAATGAATTTTGATTTGAAAATTGATTTTTGGATTATTATAACTATTATTATAATAATTAAGTTCGATTGCGCCTTGGAAAAACGCCGATGACATTCCGAAATGACAGCCGTCACTTTTTGGCGGGAAAATGATTAGTAGTTTGCTCAAAATTCGTCGTTTAGAAAACTTTTTGCATATCATTTACTATGTACTCCATTTGTTGTGTACAATTGATTTATAAAAGCCATTCCTGTAGTTTTTGGGGCGATTTTTTTATTTTTTTCTATATTACCAATATTCAAACCAAACAATTGCAGCCAGTTTTTATCTATTTAACGTTTTATCGATAGTTTATTGTAAGAATAAATAAGTTAGCGAGATTGTTGAACGAAGCGATGTTACATAGCTTCGGAATCTCTATAGTACCTATATGTAATGACGGCGTATTTATTTTATAAATTTAAGGACAGAAAAAAAAAAAAACACTTTTATACCAAAACATTGTGACCAGTCTATTGAATTTTGAACCGTTCTAAATATAATTCAATTATGCGTAATTAATCATAACCGATTCTGTTTAAGTTGACATATTGTAAATATTTATAATTATGAATCTAAATGTTTAATGTACACTGTAAAAGTTGTTGAATTTCGTGCTTTTGGATATCCTAATCATTTCTTATATTCGAATTTGTCACCACTGATAAGAAACTAATTCATAGACCTTTTATATTTTATACATATATGTAGCGAGAAGGCCAAAAAGAAAATATTTTTTTTTTGATTTGACACATATCATTTCTCATCTGTCCTTGAAAATTTCTATGATAATATCGAAAAACTTCGGCTTTGAGTGTACATAGACATTTACAAAAAGAGCATTATGAACCCGAAATGATTGTGATACGAGCGACTTGTTTTTTTTTTTTTTTCTCTTTTTGACATTTTTCTTTTAAGTTATATTTTGTGTTTGGTCCGCGCAGATCGTCTAGTCGTTAGTAATTTATTATTATTTTTTTTTTTCACTGAGCAAGTTCACTCTTTGGATACGATGTTGGATAATAGATTAAGTTTTTAATTAAAAATGTTTATCGAACAAACAATCTGTTTTATTTTTCTACCCACGACGAACGATTGAGGTTTTATTCATATATTTGATTTTTTTTATATGATATACATTACCAGTGGAATAGGAACATAAAGGGCCCACGCATTACAAGTAAGGAAAGCAGAATAAAACGAAATGAGATCTCGATAAAATTAAAAACACTCAATACAAACGCACTTATATAATAATAAGGGTAGACGGAAACTCAACCTTATTGAGCTCTAAATGTGACTTACTAAAGCGGTGACAAGTGACATGTCAAGAACTTGCACATCCTGGGATGTGATGACAGACTCACGCCCGTCGTATCGCGAACGAGCCTGCCCTTACATACACCAGCTTTTCTGCTGCTGCTAACAAAATACATTCAGGGCGATTATTATTGTTCGACTATAAATCTCCGCCAATCGCCTCTGTGTCTGTTTTCGCAAATGGAGGATAGACGTCAACCGCGAAATGTACCAAATAGATTTGGGACATTTCGCGAAACCAGCAATACATTTGGAAAAACGCCACCGCCACAGCCAAATCTAACCTAACTCTAAATAATCTAGGATCAATCGCCGTGTACGGTCATCCGATTCCTTGGGAGGAAAAAAGTCAAATATCTTAGGATGAATTTCGACTCCGGAATGTAATTTGCCATGCTAGCTCAGTGTCCGGGCGGTCGCCTTTAATTCAATATACTCCAGCAACTTGATTTCGATCCCCGGTGCCGACACCACTGAAATTCTAAATTTTAAGTGCCGAATTATCACGTGCTCAGCGGTGAAGACAAACATCGCGAGGAAACCTGTATATAAATGTCGTTCGAAATAATAACAAAAAAACATATTTCGAAGATATGTGAAGGCCGCGTGGTGGACTATGCCCTGATACCATCTGTACAGAGGAGGCCTTTGCCCAGCTGTGGGACAACTATAGGCTGATAATTTACTTTTTATGTCATTTAAAACTCACATCGTAATCTCTACCAAATAATGGGAAAAAAAAATGGTTCCGCTCCGCTGAGTACCACGACCTCATAGAAGACCGGCGTAAAGTGGAAGTATAATACTTTCGCAGTGAGGTGGCCGGAGCCCAATTTTTCAAAAGGAACCCTCGGGTGTGGCAGATGTCCATGGGCGGCGGTATTCACTTAACATTAAGTGAACCGTCTGCTCGTTTGGCAACTTTTCACATAAAAAAATCACAAATGTAGTCATAGCACGCACGACCAATTAGTTCATTCTCGCATACGAGTATGGCGTATATGGGACGCCCACCTTCCAGGATGGTTGACAGATCCCAGCCGATTAATAGCTTACAGCGAATCGCCGTAAGGGTCACAGACCGTACGAAACCATGATGGCCTGTAACATTCCTCTAATCGAATTACTCTAATCCTTCTAACCTAACGCGGTTGGCTGGCTCATGCTCAAGGGATCTGTCTTTTATACATCACGAGCTCTGCGTTTGCTGAAGCTTTATTAGTCTTTATGGCCTGATAGCGAAACAATAATATAGTAAAAAAACCTTGATTGAGGTGGCAAAACTTTACAGTGTTAACAGAGGAAAAAAAATTATATAGTTTTGTTCTCCATCAACTCCATGAGCTAGGCTTTTGAAGAAGGTTTACGGGCTGAGAGCAACATCAGTTCATAAAATTATTAAAACTTTCGTGA